TCAGTGGCACAGCACCTGTATGGCAAGCATATGGTCATGAGTTTGATTCCCAGTACCCAAAAAAAAAAAAAGCATTATGCCTCAAAGCTTGCCTTACTGGTTTGCTCTGACATCTTAGCAAAGGTGCATAATTTTGATTCCTCCTTGACAAATAACAGTAAGATTTTGGTGCTCAATATAAGCCATAACAGCATTTACTTATAGCCACAGAATATGTGTATGTTTCTCTGCCTTTCTCAGAGATAAGTTATGGAAAAAGATTATTAGAAAAGCACATTGAAACATACCTTGGATGTTGAAAGTTGTGACATTGTTAAGTTACTGTACAAATCAGAAGAATAAAGAAAAGTACCATTCAATACATTTTCTCCAAAATCATTTACTTGATATAACTTGAATTTCTCATTAAAAATCTACCTCTAGACATTCTCTGCTCTTAGGAAATGTATTCTGTACAGTCTTTTGAGAAAATGATTGTGTGAATCTTTCCACTTAATTATTTTCAAGCTCTACCTTAGCTTACTATCACCAAATATGGTAGAACTGTAGTATAATTACTGTGACCTGACATGATTTGAACCTAATTGTTCAGATAGTAAATAAACCATAATAAGAATTATTGCATATAGTCATCCCTAGGTATAATGTTTTCATGTAACCTTCTACATCCTTTCATATACTTTAAATCATCTCTAAGTTACATTACATAATACAACGTGAATGTTACATAGTTTTTGTTTAGGGGATAAAGACACATATACGTGGTTCGATGTAAAAATTTCTTTTTCAAATGTATCCAATCCAGAATTGGTGGTGGATACACAACACAGAGCTCATGAAGATAGAGAGCCAATGGCAGATACTCCCTTTTTCCATGGGTGGTGTATTTAAAGACCTCCAATGGCTCCCTGAAACTATGGCTCAACCCCAGTTTGACAGTGTGACAGCAAAAGTAACACAAGTTTTATTTTCCTTAATTTCATGCATAGGCAGTTCATTCTTACCCGTAGAACTTACCAACCTCAATACCCTGGGGTTTGTTTTGTTTGTTTTGTTTTTACTATTAAGAACTTTCAGGGGGCTGGGGATTTAGCTCAGCGGCAAAAGCGCCTGCCTGGCAAAGCGCAAGGTCGTGAGTTCGGTTCCCGGTACCAGAGAAAAACAAAAAAAAAAAAAAAAAAAAAAAAAGAACTTTCACCTTTTCACTGAAAGGAGCACTTTATAGCATCTCTTTCACATATTTGAAATGGATCATTACTTTTGCATGTGGAACCTTTATTAAGTAGAATAAGGGCTATATGAGCACTAGCACTGTGATACTATAATGGTCAGTCTGATAACAGTCATCTTGACAACCGCAAAGTATCCTACGCACGGGTAACATGCAGTGTGGATACACGGTCCTAAAGAGCTGATTCACAATTTAAAACTGATGAATTGTTCTCTTCTAAAAATCATTATGTAATATTTCTGGATTTGAATAAGAAGCAAACTGTGGATAAAGAGGAAGATAGGTGCGTGGGTGTAAGTTTAAACAATGTATTTTAACCTAAAGTATATAAATGTGTATCTGTTTATTCTTTTGATATTGATATAAGGCCTTTCCTTTAGGTAGATGGGGTTTGTGGATTGGAATTCTTTGATTTCTTTCTTATGCGAAACTGTAGTCATTATACGTCATCTAAGATTCTGGTTTCAGTTACCATAAAATGCAGCAAGTCTTTGAAAATACTTTTAAAATAGAACTTGTCTAGATTTCTCTTCTTTCCATAACCTGTTATAGTTAGCTCACGTAGGTAATTTGCAGCCAGATTTTATCATAAGTTATTTACTTTTAGATAGTTTTCCCAAAGCCTTCAACTTAGTTTTCATAAAAATAGCAGTGATACACACACACACACACACACACATATACACACACACACAATCAGGTTAATAAAATCTCTTAATTATTACAGGCTGATCACATCCACAATCACAGAACAAGTGTACAGCAAAGGCTAAATAAAAAGAGGCAAATGGAATGATTTCAGGGCTCCAGGAGAATCAAAGCCCTCTCACAGAATTTGAGATTCTCCTGGGGCTAAGACCAAGACCTTCTCTGGGTGACCCATATTTATTTGGTTATCAGAAGAAGGGAGGGGAGTACTCAAGAAGGGCAGAATTACTCAAGGACTTCTTCAAGTAAGGTATTAAATTAATCCTTAATGAAGATTAAATTAATCCACCCAGGATTAATCTGCATGCCTGAGGCTGTAGTCTTTATCTAGTTGAGATGGGTTCTGTTGTGATCTTGGCTGTGATCTTGTACTTTTTTGAGGCTTTCCAGCTTAATCCGCTATTACAGGTTTTAGTAGGGATTAGTGACTCATAGAGGTTCACTTACTATGAGTCTCTCGTCCACTTCCAGACAAGCGGCCTGGACTTTGGACAGATTGACAAGTAAAACATAAAAAGCCAATTGGTTAATTTAAGTTCTGCTCAGGGTTGCTTCATAGTGGTCTGCATCACACACACACACAAAATAGTTAAGAGAATTGTACTACTGATTTCTATTAGTTCATTCAAAGGAACACTTAGTGCTTATATTGTTTGGTCAGTCTTAAATGCCTGTGTCTGGTAATCTGAGCAACTACTTTGAAGACAACAATATGCAATGTAATAACCATTGTTAATTTCTTATCTTGTTTTGAAATTCTGTATTTTTATTGTTTATCTTTAAAAATAAAAAACTAGCAATCCTTTTCATCATTTATCATTTTGTCATTGTTATCTAATGACAACAGTGAGGTCATGGGTAACAAACACACTTAGGAACAGAGACCCCGGGAGCAACAGTGTGCATGGGAAACAGAGGCTGTGGAAAAGAAGCGTTCAGGCCTGAGCATCCGTCACTGATCTTTACTGGGGCTATGAAAAGGGCTGTTGAGCCAGCTTCTGTTGTGCTGCACTGATGAAGCTGAGGAATAAACTCTGCCGTGCAGAATCGGTCATTTATAAGTACACATTCTTTAGTTGACTTTACAGGCTAATTTATTAAGCGCTACATTCGTTTCTCAAATATCTACCACTTGCAGCCTAATTCTTCATAGTTTTTACCTTCCCTAAAAATATTACCTTGAATAAGTAATTGTTTGTACCAGATACTGTTTAGTTTGTTTACAGATTCTTTAGATATTTTTATTCTTAGTGTCAGTATTATGGAAAATATGTATTTGCTAAAATTGAAAACTTCTAAAGGCCCTATAGATTATCACCTCCTCTCTTTAATGTCCAGTCATTGATTACATAATGATTTTTCATAAATTGGGCATCCATTTTTCATCTCTCTTTTTTCTGTTTTCATTCTGTTCACTTTCTGCTACTCAATATGGACCTGCTTGTCTTTTCAGAAACTTAAGTGACTAGTTGATGGTTTTGGGTTGCATGGCATAGGGCTATGACGAGCCTTCTTGGTGAGTTCAGATCTAGTTATTTGAAACTTGCATAATGAGAAGCATGCAGAGGTATGCTACTGGCTATATACATTTCATGGATGGAAACATAAAGGTCTATAGAAGTATTAGTGAAGTCAGAAACATTTTCCTGTATGTTTCCTGTATTTCCTATATATTTTCCTATATTTCCCAGGAGTTCAGAAGTGTTCTTAAAAGGTGTGATGATCTAAGAGGAAGACATAAAAATGATGGCTCAAATTCCTTCCTTGCTCTTTTATAATACATAACCTTAGAGAAGTCACTTCACGTCTCAGCTTTCCTCTCTCAGAGCAGGAATTGTTTAACCCTATAGTAAGTGCTCAAGTGTGCAAATGGTACCCGGTTTCTTGTAACTTCTGGTTCTTACCCGTAGCTTTGTACTGCTGCCCTTATTTGTGTTACTCACTTTTTTTGGCTTTTCCCATTTTCACCTGACCAGTAGATCTTCAAACGTCCAGATTTTGTTCTGTCCAGAGACCTCCCAGACTACTCCAATCTGGGCACATATCCCTCTTTTCTGAATATTGTAGATCCTTGTTACCTTTGCATAGATTCTTCTTATTGCCTGGATGTATGACTAGCCTTTTACATAGGAAACTTCAGTTTACTTATTTATTCAATTTATTTTTCATCTTTCAACTCGTGCTATTTCCTCTTTGAAACAGGACCTGACTTTATTCAAGTGTTTCCTCCGTGTACTGTAGTTGTTCCATGTACCACTTCTCACACATCCCACTGTCGTAATTTCATGGCCCTCTCCTTATTAAAGCATAAATTCTCCCAAGAAGGAAGATCTTCTTTATGTCCCCATATGCTAGCACACAAAAGCTGCTTAGTAATTTCTGTTGAACTGAATGAATCAGCAAAATGGAGTACTGTATGTCCTCTATATCTCACAGTTTCATTGATAAGCAAAATAAGTAAATACAAGAACTACTGTTAGGATATTAAAAGCTGAAAAACTACCCATAATACCATTTTTCTGTGCCTTATCAGTCAGCAGTTTGCAATATAATGCATTATGATTAGGCCTTTGATCGGGGAACTAACTCCCTCAAAAGTTTGTGGGTTAAACCTGTGAAGATTTGATATCTTTTGTAGGAGCAAATTAAGCTATATAGAAGAAGAAGATGTCTGAGGCTCATCTGCATTCTTGCTGGTTCTTGGACACCAGCCTAAGAATCACTGCTATGACTTACATTATAGCACAGCAAATACTTGTGCCAACAGGTCCAAGATAGCTGTAGAAATAGGGAGGAGGTTGGTTAAATCTGCAGGTTAAAAGGAAACCTACAAAGAGAAATGATGGAATGACTTTAAGGGACAGGCATAAAAATGAATAAAATGGCAAGTAGGAGCGCAGAGGTGCTACCAACGAGCTTCCTTTGAACTTGAGGTGTGAGGACGGCTAGCAAAAACTGGGTGTGGTGTATTCTACCAGGTACTCGAATTTTAGAATTTTTAGTAGAGTGAATTGATAGAGGGAGGAAAAAGAGTAAAATATTACGTTTTGTCTTTGGACAGGCGGCATCTGAACTGGATACAGTGGGCTTCCCTCCTGATTTTATTTTTTTCTATCGTGGCCCTAACTACTGGGACTAAAACTTCACAGCACAACCTGGCAGGGCATGGATTTCATCACGATGCCTTCTTCAGCCCATCCAATTCCTGCCTTCATTTCAGAAGTGAATGTCCTGGAAAAAATTGCACAACAAAGGAGTGGACTTTTCCTGAAGCTAAATGGAATAATACCACAGCCAGAGTTTTCAGTCACATCCGTCTTGGCTTGGGCCATATACTGATCATAGTACAGTGTTTTATTTCTTCGATGGCCAATATCTATAACGAAAAGATACTGAAAGAAGGGAACCATCTCACAGAAAGCATCTTCCTACAGAACAGCAAACTCTATTTCTTTGGCATCCTTTTTAATGGGCTGACGCTGGGCCTTCAGAACAGTAACCGTGATCAGATTAAGAACTGTGGATTTTTTTATGGTCACAATGCGTTTTCAGTAGCCCTCATTTTTGTAACTGCATTTCAGGGCCTTTCAGTGGCTTTCATTCTGAAGTTCCTGGATAACATGTTCCACGTCTTAATGGCCCAGGTTACCACTGTCATCATCACCACAGTGTCCGTCCTGGTCTTTGACTTCAGGCCCTCCTTGGAGTTTTTTTTGGAAGCCCCTTCCGTCCTTCTTGCCATATTTATTTATAATGCCAGCAAACCTCAGAGTCTAGAATGTGCACCCAGGCAAGAACGGATCCGAGATCTGAGTGGAAGTCTTTGGGAGCGGTCGAGTGGGGTAAGTTTGTGAGCATAGTGCTTTTTGACTGTTATTCCCAAATTCCAAACAAGAAAAAAAAAAAAAAGATTAGTATTTATTTATCAAAGAATGTGCTAGATCTCTATGGCTTTTAAAAATCCATCCAAAGCCATTCACTGGACATGATAAATGCTGGTAGAGAAAAAGTTTAAGTCAGAGCCTCTCGAAAATACTATATGTTAATTGTATCATAGACTATTACAGAACCACAAACCTAGATGATGACTCAGGTTATCTTGTCAGTCTCCCTAATTTTGTGACTAAGGAAATGGGATAGCTTATGGGTACTAAGTACTAGACTCATATATCTGACTCTAGTCCCTTGATATTTCCACTGCTCGATAGTTGAAAAAGTAAGTCTCATTTTAAAAGAAGTTGGTATTTCACATTGGTAAATCTTGACCTGGCTCCTTAATTGTCTCTCTAGTTATTTATAAACTACAGTGTGGCAGAAGGGCAGGATTTATTTCACTAAAAAGGTAGTTTTCAAAAGAATCTTTACAAATAAGAGAGAAATATCTTCTAGAATACAGCTTATGCAGTTATTCTGAATATAAGTTGCTTACAGTTGTTTTAATCATGTCATGAATAAATTAAAAATGTTTTGGTAGCTGAGTAGAGGGTATGTGTGTGTATCCCAGCACTTTGGGAAGCTGAGGCAGGAGGATTAAAAGTCAAACCCAGCCTGGGCAACTTGGCAAGACTCTGTCTCAAAAAAAGGCTGGGGATATAGCTCAGTGCTGTGCAGGCCCTAAATTCAATCCCTAGTACCACTAAATTAAACTCTAAAGTTAAGTAAAATAAAATATCTATTAGAGATCCATTTAAGAAATTAAATACATTTAAATGAAAAGGGAATGGACTGTTTTCATTAGATTTACAATTTTCATGACTACACAGAATATGAATGGTTTCACACAATGAACCCATTTCACTTTTCAGGAAAATCTGATGCTTAGAGTTCATGGCAGACCTTCCCTAGGTGTCAGGGCTGTGGGGCACTGAGATAACCCGTCTGAAGATGGAAAGGTCAGAAGCTTACATCTCAAACACCCGGATCTCAGCCTTAGTGTACATTCAGAAGTGTTCTTTTCTGATGGGCTGACAGTTTCCCCAATTTTTAAGTAGTCAAGTCAGTTTAAGTAGGCAGGCCTATTCATTTCTCCAGCCTGTAATGATTTCCTCCCAAGACCAGCAGATGGAGCTATTTACTTTGTTCATGTTTTTAACTTTGAATTAAGACTGGCTTGAGTATGTTTCATTTTTTAATCATCTCATTATACTAAAGTTAATTTACCAAGTATTTATTTAATTTGACCATATTACATTTGCAGTTTAATGAAATGAAACCCATGATTTAATGAGTATGATTCCTGACATACATTTCATAAAGTTGTCCCTTAGTAACTGTTAAAATGTAACTTTTCTATTTTTGTAAATGAATTACTTATTTCATATGTTTCCTTTTAGGATGGAGAAGAACTGGAAAGACTTACCAAACCCAAGAGCGATGAGTCAGATGAAGACACTTTCTAAATTGATACCAGAATAGTTGGCAGGTCTCACAAACCAACATTTGTAATATTTACCTTTTCACTTTGATAAACCAAGGGTGTCCTGTTGTATTCCACGGTACATATCTGACCACTCCCTAAATGGTTCCATTCATGGTTTAGAGTACACAAAGGGTGACAGATTTCTAAAGAATCAACATAGAAATAATGACATAGAGACTATATTAATAGCCCAGTAATTGAGAAGTCAACAAGATAATATGCAAATTATTTTCCTTGTCCTCACTGGTTCCAAAAAACTTGCAGTAATCATGTTAGTTAGGCCCTGCAATTATACAAGAGATGAGTTTGCAAGGTATTCATAATTATGTGGTTCTGGACTGCATGCTACAGTCTTCCCTTTTTATCATTAAAAACCTCATCTAAGTTGCCTCAAATGCTAAGGCCCTAGAGATAGTCATTTTGAAATGACAGGGCAGTAAAACTATCTAAAAATTTTGATAGATGGACCAAAATGTCTGACTGTGCCGTAGATTTAGGGTAACATAGTCTATGGTAAGTGTTTTGTTGAAGAATCAATTTTTCAGAAACAATATTTTACAATTTTAACTTTTAGGAATTCATGGGAAATTTTGTTTAGTAATTATCTTTTAATGTCTTCTATACAAATAAGCTTCATGTAGGTGAAAGGGACTATGATACTTTAGCCATTGTGGAATTTTTTCCTCTTTAGTTTATATAGCACAAAGTACTGGGATCATTACTTCTGGATTATTGTGTTTCGGAAAAATAATAACAAGGCATTTTATTTCATTACTTACTAGTTAAAACTGGTGACTGTTATATATCTTTATCATATACTATTCCCAAAGTCAGAACACTGGTTTCATAGTCATAGGAGATTGTTAGTGAGACTAATGCCTAAGAGTTACTTTTAAAAGGTTCCTTTTGCAAATAAATGTTGACTTTTATATGAATAGTATACTCATAGTAGGCAGGCAGTCATCAGTAAGCCACTTCATAGTATTAGTTGACACCTACAAGTCCATAGTATTTTTAAGGTACTTTTGCATGCAGCCAATGGCTATCATGTAGCACAGTTTGGTGACATCACTTAAAAATGAGAAAATAGTGATCTGTCCAAGGTCAGGCAGCTGGATAGTGATAGAAGAGCAGGTGTAGCTGACAAAGCTATACGTTTACAAAGTCCAATGCTGTGACAGCTACAGGATTTCGTACAGCCTATATATATATGTTCTCTTTTTTCCTCTAAATCTCATGCAGATGTATATAAAGTAATAATGTTATATAATTCACCCATGCTACATAGACTTCTATGACTCAAGAATTGATATTATAATTAGAGTAATCATTAAACGTATCTGAGGTGAGATGTGGAGTATTTTTATTTCAAAAAAGGAAGTGAGGCAGAAACTCAACTTTTAAAATTTTCTCTTTGAGTTTATGTTTATTTATTTATTTATTTTTGATACTGGGGGTTGAGTCCTCATCCTCTGTTTGTTTATTTGTTTGTGACAGAGTCTGGCTAAGTTTCCCAGGCTGGGCACAAATTTAAGATCCTCCACTTCCCTGACCACTGGGATTATAGGCATGCGCCAAAACACCTAGCAAGGCAGTTTTAACATCTAAGAACAGCAAGCTATTTGCCTTCTCATAGGCATTCTTCTACCATTTATATGAAACAGCAAGATTACATCTATTGTAGCAATTCATTTTAAAGGTCAAGAAGATAAGGTATAAGATCTCACTTTTAAGAAAAAGCATACAAAACATTTTTATCGTGCAGAACAAAGTTACAAAAATACTTCCTACAGAAGTATTGCCCAAAGAATGCATTAAATTAGAGATTTCAGTAGTGTACAGAGGTTCATTTTTCTTATTTATCTTTACTTTTTTTTTCTACCCCTTTTTGGAAGCATTTGTTGCCCAAAGTGAGGTTTACTTACGTTAACTCTCGCGAGAGAAAGCGAGCGGGAACTGAAGTGTGAGGTTCTGAGGTAGAGTACTCTAGGGCGTCACTGTTTTAGGGAGGGGAGTAATTTGAAAGTGCAAGGTCTGTAAATCATATCAACCAAAAGAGCTCTTGGAATCAAGAGTTAGTATAACCTGGAAAGAACAGTTGTCACTCGGAAAAAGTAGACATCTTTTCTATTCGGAGAACAAAACTGCATTGATAGTGATACGGTTGTTATTCTTACATTACAAAAAGTCTCTTCCAATAAATGTACTTTTCAGCAGTACAAGAGGTCTCCCTGAAGAGTAGAGAGTAATACTAATTATCACTGAGGTTTTTAAGACTGTATCATCAGGATGTTTTAGACAAGAGTCCTTCACTGCCATAGACATTAGACTAAGTGATTTCTGAAGTCCCTTTCTATATTTTAGAATTTTTTCTAAGCACTTATGACCTATAATTAGTATACTGATTCTACTCTATAGTGTCTGAATACCCTTTCATTGGATCACAAGTGTAACCTGCAATGAATGACCTGGGCTGGTTACTGGTGCTAAACTGATCTGCGAACCAGGAACAGGCCTAATCCTGGGGGTCAGGGGGCCAGGAATGTAGCTGTTGGTTATAGAAGAAAAAGTGGCTTAGACCAAGATCCAGCACCCCTGCTAGCTTTCCCTGCTCCATAGACTTTCAGGACCCACTTACAGAGGGACACTGAGGGCAGAGTCACTCGGTGTGTGTGACAACTAAGGCATTTTTGTTCCCCTGAGCCCCTGTGTGGAAGCCCTTGTCACTTATAAGGAGAACTCGACTTCAGAGTTCATAATCACCACTATTGCAGGAAGTCCTTTCACTCTTTACAGGCCCAACACGCTGTGTGAACCAACTGTCCTCAACCTCTTTGCTCCTTTCCCCTTTACCTATGTCTTGATTTTATTGATGGACTCTGATATTCTGATGGGCAGAAGCAGAGAGCAATAAACTCAATGGAAAGGGAGTAATTTCCCCTTCTAAAACCTAGAGCAAGGGGCTGGGGATTTAGCTCAGTGGCACAGCGCCTGCCTGGCAAGCTCAAGGTCATGAGTTCAATTCCTGGTACCGGGAAAAAAAGAAAAAAAAAAAAAAAACCTAGAGCAGTTTTTAAAGTTAAATAATATGTATTTCTTCTTCAAAGGAAAGAAAAATTCCACAAATCTCAACATGGACCTTATCCTACTTTACTTTTTGGGAGGTGCTTTTTGTTTATTTGTTATTTGCTTGTTTTTGTTTTGTTTTGTTGAGACAGCATCTTGCTGTGTAACCCAGGCTGGCCTTGAACGTGCAATTCTCCTACCTTGGCCTCTCAAATGCTGCATTTATAGGCATGCACTACCATGCCTGTCTCACTGTGTACTGTAACTTAAAATATGAAGTAGAAACTTTGCCTACACTTTTTATGGGAAAATCTAAGACATTTATAAAGTAAAAAATACAGGTATAAAACCAGTAAGTTTCAAATTCAAATACGAATTTAATACACAAATGGTGTTTTGGTCAGATTGATTTGTGGTAGACCCCACGCTACCCTTTAGAACGTCTGTCCTCACTTGCTGTTTTAGTTGCTCCAAGTACCATCATTTGTGTGCCGAGATAACTGAGACCTGCTGATACTGCCAGTGGTAAATTGAAGCCTGTAGTGATTTGTCAGCCCGTGTCTCTCTCAGTCCCCCATGGATTTGGCATGGCTCAGACTAAATTCCCACTGGCTTTGGTGCCCTGGAAAATTGTTTTAAACATTAGCTTTACATGTTCCCTCAAACTCAAAAAGCTCACTAGTAAAATTGCCTAACATTTTTTTTTAGTACTTGTTTCTCCCCATAGCCTTCTCTTGCTCTTTCTTTTCTTCTTAATTTATATTTTGTGAAGTTAAACGTTCATATTTTAAAAATTATTTCCATAGGAATTTTTGAAGCATTCTCTAATTCTTTTAATTTCCTGTGACCTGTAATTCTGTTTTCATTCTTAATTTTGTATATGAATGGTTTCTCTGTTTTTTAAAAAATAGGTTAGCTACTTGTAGTTAATTTTTGTACGGATTTTTATTGTGACAAAATAAGTAGAAAAATTTTACTATCTTGACCATTTTTAAGTGTATACTTCAGGAGTGCTAAGTACAATATTCATTTCATGTACTCACCATCCATCTCTAGAACTTTTCTTCTTACAAGATTAAAACTTTGTATCCATTAAACAATAGCTGTTTATTTCCTTTCCCCTCAGCCCTTGCCAACCATTATTTCTAGTTTCTCTGATACTGATTACTCTTTAGTACCTCATATAATTAGAATCATGCAGTATTCATTTTTTGTAAATGGCTCATTTCACTTAGTTCAGTGTTCTAAGGGCTCATCGATGCTGTAGCATATCAGAATCTTCTTGTTTCTTAAGGCCGTATAATACTCCATTACATGTGTGTATACCACATGTTTCTTAACTGTTCGTCCATTGATGGACACTTGGGTTGCTTCCATGATTTAGCTGTTGTAACCCAGCTATGAACATGAGCATATGAGTGTCTCCTTAGACTCTGTTTTCAGTTCTTTTTAGTTTAGACTTAGAATTGCTACATTATATGATTATCCTGTTTTTCATACTTTGAGGAACCACCACATTATTTTCCACATGGGCCAATCCATTTCCATTCCCACCCAGCAGACCAGGGTCCCATCTCTCTGCATCCTTACCGACACTTGATCTTTGTTTTGCTTTCAGAGTAGACCCCTCAGTGAGTGTGAGATGATGTTTCCTTACAGTTTAATTTCTTCCCATTTTTGAATGGGATTATTTTGTAATTGCCATTGTTGGGAGTATTCTGTACATTCTGAATATTAATCTCTTACCAGTTGCACATTTTGCAAATATTTTCTTCTGGTCTGTGGATTGCCTTTTTACTCGTTTGGCAGTATCTTTTTATATACTTTATCTTTGGATACACAATGTTTAAAAATCAGCTTTGTCCATTTATTTTTCTTTTATTGCCTCTACTTTTGGTATCATATCCCAGAAATCATTGCCAACTCTAATAAAGTAAAATTTAACCCTGTGTTTTCTTTTAAGATTTTTATAGTTTTAGGTCTTACATTTAAGTTTCATGGATCCATTCTGAGTTATTTTTTTTTTGTTTTTTTGTTTTTTAGTTTTTTTGTTTTTTTTCCGGTACCAGGAATCGAACTCACGACCTTGCGCTTGCCAGGCAGGCGCTTTTGCTGCTGAGCTGAATCCCCAGCCCCTTATTTTTTATATAGTATTAGGTAAAAGTCAACTCACTCTTTGGTATGTGGGTATCTGATTTTATGAGCAAATACTGCCCTTCAACAAATAGGATCTATAGGATCTTTTCCATGAATGGTCTTGGCACCCTTGTTGAAAATCATTTGACCAAATACATGAGGGTTTAATTTTAAGTTTTCTGTTTTATTCCAGCAGTCTGTATGCCTTCCTTTATACTAGTGCCATACTGTTTTGATTACTGTAGTTTGGTAATAAATTTTACAGTCTGAAAGTGTAATTCCTCCAGCTTGTTCTTTTTTTCAGAACTGCTTTGGCTATTAAGGGTCCCACGAGATTCCATGTGAATTTTATTGTGGGTTTTTAATGTCTACAGAATATCAGTGGGATTTTTTATAGAAATGACATTAAATCTGTAGATCACTTTGGGTAGAATTGACATTAAGTCCAACTCGTGAACATGAGCTATCTTTCAGTTTATTTGCCTCTTTAATTTCTTTCAGAAATATATTGTAATTTTCATTTTATAATTCCTTTAGTATATTGGCTACAAAATTTCCTAAGACTTTTATTTTTGGTATTATAATTTCCTGTTTAGATTTGTGATTTTCAGTATAAAAATGCAGCTTATTTTTATGTGGTGATTTGTATCTTCCTATTTTGTTGAATTTGTTTATTCACCCTAATGTTTTGAGGGATTGTTAGGATTTTCTGTATAAAATCATATTATTTATAGGCAGCAGTAATTTTAACTTTTGTTATTTGTATGACTTTTATTTTTTTTTCTAACCTAATTCGGGGTACAACTTTTAGAATTATATTGAATAGAAGTGGGCATACTTGTTTATTTTTGATCTCAGAAGCAAAGGTCTTCTGGTTTTCACCACTGAATATGATGTTTTCTGTTTTACATAAGATCTCCTTTTTTATCTTCATTTTTAACTTATTAGGTCTAAAATGAGTCTCTTGATGATACCGTCTACAGTGTTTGGATTGTGCATTTTTAAAATTCATTCCACTAACCACTGTCTTTTGATTGAAAGTGTTACGGTTTAGATCTAAAATATCCCCCAAAGGGCTCATTTTCAGAGGTGGCGGTTCTGAAAGGTGATTTGATCACAAGGGCTCTAACTTCATCAGTGCAATAATCCATTGAAGAGATCATAATTTGATGACATTATATATAAATAATTTCTGATAGGAGGGACTTTCTTTTATCCTTTTTGCTGTTTATTTACCTTACAGCTTTATTATCCTATTTCTTGCATTACTGTCATCCTTTATAGTTGATTTTTATAATGAAATGTTTAATTTTCACTTCCTTTTGTATATATTCTTATTTTCTTTGTAGATACCATAGAGATATTTAACAAAAGAGTCATCACACTCTTCCTGGGTTGACAGTGTATGCTGTAGGGATGCTCATAGCATTGCAGACTACAAGTCCAAAGGCTTCGGAAGCATGGAAGCTGAAGGTATAACTCTTAGTCTCTGCTCAAAAGCCTAAGAAGCTAGAAACTAAGAAGCTAGTGGTGTGAGTCCTGGAGTACAGAGGCCAGAGAGCCTGGAGTCTTGATATTTACAGGCAGTAGGAGGTTCTCCCAGCCTCAGAACAGAGAGGAAGTCACTTTTCTTTTGCCTGTTCTATTCTGTTCAGTCCTGCAGCTAACTGGACAGTGCCCCTTGCTCATACCTAGAGTGGATCCTCACTCAGTTCACTGCTTACATGACAGTCTCCTTTGAAAAACCCTCACAGACACACCCAGAAACACTGCTTCACCATTTCTCTAGCTATTCTTTAGTCCAATCAAGTTGACACCTAAAATTAACCATGACAAAGGGAGGATTTTGCAACAACTGAGTAAAATATAACCACATTGGCTGCCACCTGTTTGTCTGTATGACAGTGGTCAGAAGCAGCTACTCCTGATCAGAGCACAGCTCCTCAGTATTTAAAGAACAGGGCCTTTTGGCTCACCCTAGGTCCTGCTCTATGGAGTCTGTCTAAAGAATGTGAACACAGCTGCCTGCCTCGGGGCTGAGAGGTCAGGGGTAGGCATTTGCTATTGGGCTAAGAGCACAAGTTCACCAAAATAAACTGCAGTGTGCACTTAAGGGCTTCCTCTGGAAATTGCAAGCTTTCACTGGACTCCAGAGCTCCAGAATAGTTACGTGCAACCGATTCTGCAATTGTTGTCAAGGTGGAGAAGCAGATTCTTGGTGCTTCCTAGTTACTTCACCAAAATCCTCTTCTAGTTAAATTTTACTTTATTAAAAGTTACTGTATGTTTTATTTTTCTTGGGGTTTGATTTTTGTTCTTTTTGCATCTTATCTAGTTGAAAAACATTTATTCCCTCTTTGATTTGTTACTGAATATGTTAATAGCTGTATAAAAACATCACTTGGAGTACATACACCTTCAGTCATTTCACAAAGACAGAGTGTTGTCGTTGTCATTGTTTTCTAATTCTAGTCTGAGTCAAGCGTAATGTGATGGAGGTTTTTCTTCCTGTTTTGTTAATTTATGGTTTTCACACATTTGATGAGAAAATGAGATCTATATTCTTTTCTAGTAGAATTTTTGAATACTTTACGCATTTGCATGCATGTTTCATGGGCATTTAAGCAAAGGTACACTCTGTTAGTATAATATTTATTGCCGAGTATCTGTCTCTTTCCGTTTGTCTTTTTGACAGTTGTTTGTTTATTGTGGCAGGAATCAAATCCAGCGGTGCTTTGTCACTAAACTATGTCCACAGCCCTTTCTACTTTGAGATGGGCTCACAGAGTTGCCTAAGAATTTGGCATTCCTCCTGCCTCAGCCTCCCAAGTAGCTGAGATTACGGATGTCTACTACCACACCTGGCAATTTTTATTTTATATCATTCATTTTTGCATTTTTACTGCAGAAAGGTACATGCCAGTTACAGTTTAACTGATTTATATATGCCCTTAATTGAAAAGGTACCGTTTTTCTCCTTTGATACTTTTTAATTGATTGGTATGTGTTATTACTAATAATGTTTCATAACATAAATATGAAATATATTAATGATATTACTGTTATAATATAGTTGTAGCAATGTTAACATTACTGATAATTATTTGCATATTAATATATAACATTACATTGTATATGTTAATATTACAACCGATAATTATTTGCACATTAATATATATTATTTGCATGCTTTGATTGAATTATTGTCACTTTTCTTGTTCTTTAGCATACAATAAACTTCTTTTGAGAAAGGTAGTATTGGCTTAATATTTTGAACCAGTCTGAGAGTTTCTTAAAATACTTGAAATTTATTACATTTCTACTCTTTTATTACTAGTGCCTGTCTTTAAATTTTAAGAACAAAATTTAGAACTTTATAAATTTATCAATTTAAGAAATTAAAAAATAGTCATTGATTTTTTTTCCACTGAAGATGAGAAAGGACAATGTGTTTCCTCCTAACTACCACTTTCTCTGATACGCGCCGGGAGTTTTACCCAGGTCTGTTACAGTATATCTCATCTGTTAGAAGCTCATGTGTTTTCACCTTCTCCTCTCTGACCCTGGGAGTTTTAGATGGTGGTAGATTGAAAAAGCTGCAGCCTAGTGGTAGTAACGGTAAAGTTGTCTTTGCCTGCATGGGTAGATGTCCCATTTGATTGCACAGTGACACTTACGGACATAGTGATGCTTCTTGACTTTCTGATCAGCAGACCACTTAAGGACCCCTTCAGGAGAGAATGGTTTGGCTCTTGTCTAAAACCTTTCCATTGATGCTGCTGGTACAGTCGAGAACACCGCAGCTTTAGATTTTACTGAGTGGGTGTCAGTGGTTTGGAAGAAGATCCTGGAAACAGCAGAGAATCTCTCCTAAAACAAGATGCATCATCATTTCTGTCAAAGACGCAGAACTATGTGGGGTGGTCTGAGACAGCTACTTTATTCATCCAAATGACTCAAAATATTTGGGCTTGAAATGAGAAGTTTTTGGCATAGCTTAATTTATTTAATTTCAGTTTTCTTTTTAAAGAGCAATACATGATAAATGTCTGTAGAAAGTAAATAAATATGAAATAAAACTCTGTCATTAAAAAGGCAGCTTTAATTGGTAGTATACTTAGAGCATAAAATAGCAGTGCCTTAGGGTTATGTTTTCATAAATTTGGTGAAACTTGGATGTTTAAAAATTTTTATTATGTACCTTTTATTTAAAGGATAGTTTGTTGGCCTTTTAATTTGTAATCGCGATTATCACAGTCAGTTAAAGTTAATTTTTATGATGATACTCTCATGTGTCAATTTGACTTGGGTACCAACGGCCTCACAGAGGAGCAAAACTGAGTGTGTCCGCGTGATTCCCACGTAGGCCACAAAATGGGGAAGGAAGACACCAGCCAATAGGTTTGTAGCCTGAATGGAATAAAAAGGGAAAGGAGGAAGTCCCTGTTTTCTCGGGAAGAGCTCTGGTCTTCTCCATTGCCTTCGGACCTTCCTCTCCAGTTCCTTTAGACTTCAGTGCAGACTCTTCAGCTTTCCGCTGCAGAACCTTCGGCTTTCTGACCCAGGCTTGCATTGGACACAGTGAGCTTCCAGGCCTTCCACCTTCGTTTGAGTGGCTCCTTCTGCCCTCCAGTGCAGAGAAGACCATGGTGCACTCTTCCACCACTGATCTGGCAAAAGGCCACCAGCACCTTTTGGCTTCCAATCTCGTAAGCCTACGTAATAATCCCTTTGTATGACTATATGTATATTTTATATTAAGTCTGTTCCTCTGGGGAACCCTATCTAATACACATGACCTCCTCACTCGTAGCTTTTTAATGCTAATTCATCTCAATAAGAAACTGTCTTAAAATAGATTTTTCTTTCCTGAAAGAGTACTTGGCTGATAAACTTTCTGAGAAGATTATATATATAGAGAGAGAGAAATGTATAGATATATGAATGATATATATGTATATATACATATCTATACCCTGCAGTATAAATGTATATATGAGTTTGTGTTTACATATATATGTTGTTGGGTTTTTTTTCGATGTAGGTGAGCTATATTTTAAGCCTGAGTACTTGAATGCCTTTTTTATAGGTTCTTAAGGTTTCTGTGTACTCATCTTAAATTTTAACTTTCCAGTCAGGCCTGTGAATTTACCACAAAATAATGTAGCTAGAAACTCCCTCCCAGTCCCTCCTTACCTGGACACGGAAGGTCATCGCTGAACTTACACGGAAGGGCTAGAAGCTGCTTCAAGGAGACGGAAGGGAAGCAGAGCCGCAGAAATGTACCGTGAGGGAACCAAGCACCTGTGTGCTTTTCCTCTGTATTAACTGAAAATGCTGCTTTAGGAGCCAGTTCTGTGGATTGGACACTACCGTCTACTGTATGCGCAGAGAGGGTTGGCGCTTGGTTTTTACTCTGTTGTCCTGTTTGGGATTAAGGCCCCGCTTCCGTGAGCAGTCAGATGAAAATGAAGTGCCTTGAAGCCAACACACCCGCTTTCCTTATAACTGAGAAAGTGGCTATTTGAATTTTTAGTATTTTATATTAAGTAATACATAGTCTATATTTGTATATACATTTAACAGTGTTTTACATTTATATATAAAATATGTAAAATTAAGTCTATTTTAGATTATATAAAATTACATATAAAATATATCAATATTTTCATATAAATAATATATATCTATATTTTGATCACACCTGGATCTAGTCAGTAGTAACCATCTGAGAGTCAGAATGGATCGTGGGAAAGAGACAGGTAGAAGGGAGGGGCTAGAAGAGACAGTCTCAGCTATTTAAAATCAGACAAATTCTTCACCCAGCTCCAGTGGTTCATAGGGAATAGAGTATCTTTTTTTTTTTTTGCTTTATAGAAGCAAAGTGCTAATATTTAAGGTCTCTGCAGTTTGCTCACAGGATGCCCAGTCTACATTTTAGGACATCAGAAATGTGACATATATGTTGTCATCACACCAGAAAACACTTGAAAAACAAGGATATCCTTTCTAAGAGTGGCTCTGGTGTTCAGAAAGTTCACAGTCCTCGCAGCCTGAGTATCCTTAGAAGCTCCAGTCTGGCTGTGAGGGGATGATCCGGGGTTCTGTTACATTTGGATCGGAAATGTCCCCAAAAGGCTCGTGTGTTCAAGGCTTGGCTGTCAATGTAGCAGGGGTCAGAGGTGGCCTTTAGGGAGGTGATTGGACCATGAAGGCCGTAGCCGCCTCTGTGAGTTGATCCATTGATGGATCAGTGACTTGATGACGTCGTGAGGTGGTGGCAACTGTACATGGTGGGGCCTGCTGCTCGGAAGACGCGAGGCCCTGGGGTTATGGCTGGAAGGAAATGTCTTGTCTGGGCCCCTTTCAAGAGCTCTTTCTCCCCTCCCCCCTCTGCCTGCCTTTCCCTTATCTCTCCAAATTGGGATGACGTGGACCCCTTAGAAAGTATGTGCACAATTTCAGAAGGAATGGTGAGGAAATCCATTTTTATTGACATTTTTAGTTGTGCTTCACCTTGGCAAAATATTAAGAACAATACACATTCACCTGGCTCTTCACCTGTTCATCTCAAGCAGCTGGTGTGGACTGTCCAAGAGATAACAGGAAGGCTGTCCGCCATGGCAGCGTGGGGAGGTGGGAACATAATTTACACATTAAAGAACGGTGTTCTAAAGTCACTTGCGCTTTCCATGCCTCAATTGTCTCTAAAACCAGGAAGAATGGATAGTCTTTATGGGGAAAGAGAGGTAGGACAAGTGATTTCTCATTGAGTTACAATTCCAGTTTTATTATCATGTATAACAAAGTTCAGATGATATAAAAATGACCTGTCCCTGCAGTTGGCACAGGTAAACTAAGAGCAAATATTCACACATGGCTTGAGTGCATCGTTAATATATGTGACTAGTACAGTCAGTAACCAGTGCCATAGATGATTTGGGAAATTAGTTATTAGTACCAGTGCCAAAAGGTTCCCGTTATTGACAGAGGATGGTTTCACCAGGATGCTAAATTCTTGTCTGAGGGCAAGCTCATAAATACTATTGAATAATATTACTTTGTAAATAGTTATTGAAAAAAAAAAGTAGAAAAGAAGCAAGGAAAGGAGGGAGAAAGATGAAGAGTATACTTTGGTAAGCTACATATGAAACAAATGCTGTTTCTCAAAGACAAGAATTACACCATTTTGCAATCCAGCTGCATTTTAATAAGCTATAACTGGACAACTTTTGCCTTTAAAAGTAAAAGAACCCCTGAATGTAATATCCTTCTTTGTATTTTTTAAAATAAGATACCAATACAGTAATAGGCTCCTTAGTAAGTTAAGTACAGTGCTCAAGTGGGAAGGGTCCAGCAAGCCAGACCTAGAATTCCACAGCAACCTGCCAGAACTCTGGAAGATCACGTCTGGCTATAGTGCTGGAGCCTGGTGAAGATTTCCCAGCCCATTGATCTGTCTCTGAAAAGACACCAAAAACTGCTGGGCGTGGTGGTGCACACCTGTAATCCCAGCACTGGGGAGGCTGAGGCAGGAGGATCGTTTGGAGGTCAAGGCCAGCCTGGGCTACAAAGTGAGCTGAAGACCAGCCTGAACTGCATAACGAGACCCGGCCTGAAAAAGACGGGGAAAAAAAAAAAAAAAGACACTAAAGATAAAAGAAGCAGGGCTGGAAGTGGCAGTTACAATAAAATTAGGTTTGGTACTTTTTCTGCCATTTGGTATCAAGCTTCACAAAAGAAATTCCTACAGAGCCAATCTAAAATATTTTTAAACTAACATCTCAAAAAGTGCTAAGAAATTATCAATGATCTGTCAAGGTGTTACCTGAGCACATGCTGTGATCCTTAATTTTCTTTAGCAGTCATAGTTTTCACTTACCAATTAATACAAAAATAAGAAAAAGCTATAAATACTTACAGAATTTTACATGCAAAATTATGTCCTTTGTATAAACAAGGGAAATAACATTCATTTTAAGTACCATGGCTTAGCACCAGATTGTTTCCAGTTAGAGAAACAAACAAATGTCTTTGTGATTTAAAATTTCAATAACAACTCATGAATAGGCAAAACTTTGCTATTTATTTAATCTTAAAAGAACTCTGAAAGAGAAAGACAGGAAGTGGAGACAGGATGGAAGAACGCCCCTGTGTAGCTGGCCACATGTGGCTTTAGCAGCTGCAGGGGAAACTGGCTGGGACTAAGGTTATATATTTCTGTTCAGTAAGGGTACCCATGGTGGTAACCCTCA